GGGTGGCTTAAAAAGGAGCCACGGCCGAATAAAAGTTGAAAATGCCAAGGTTAAATCGCCCTTAAGTGCACTTGGTTGCTTGACATCCTTGTCGTGTAATTGCTCTGAGTTTACTGCAAGCTTTTGCTTTTGCAGGATGGGTTGATAACTGCTGGGTCGAACTCACGATTGGCCACACACTCTGGTTTTGTTCAGGTTCCTTTTTCTGTTGCGCAAAGCCTGTGGATTTTCTATTGGGAGGACTGCCACAGAAAGCCACACCCACTGGAGGCATAATGGGTCGATTTTCGAGAGCCATTATCCTGATTCTTCCAATCGAAGACACTTAGGCTTGAATACAATCGTCTTTATTTATAAACTATTACCGTCATCGCCGCGATCTGCTTCCTCACATCAATTATACACATGTTCTTATATCGACCGGACAACATCTACTATTTACTACCGTCTTTAGCGTATATACCAGTTTGTACAGCATTTAAGATTTCGACGAACGCCCTGGCGCATTCCGTGTGTGATCTCATGAGTGAACATTAGTCGGGTAAGTATTTGATTGTATACATTCTACCTTCCGCAACAAACTTTTCTATGCTGCTCCTATTGGCATTTGTAGGCGTTGCGGTCGGTGCGTCTACTTCTTTTGTCCTCATTGTTTCGCAGCGACTGTTCCCGTGCATCTAGCTCAACTTCCATGTTGCTAACCCTACAGTTCAGTTGATTAGCTATGATCCGAGCACCGAAGTGCAGTGGATTCAGTTGCCACTACTCACAGTAAATAACAACGGTAGGATAGTGGGGTTGGGTACAACTGTAATGTAGGGATCAAAACAAGAAGGAAATTCGTTAGACTAATCGGAATGGAACGAAAATTACCCATCAGATGAAAGCAGCCTAATGCAGGAACGACACTGACTTCATGACTATACCGTGTCTGACAGGGTCTCTAACCACTGGTGTGGATCGTCCCGAGACCCCTATCCAGGAACACGGCACGCACCAGCCTGACCAAGTCTCTCAGTCAATTTCTTCAGGCTTCTATGCCATGGTTTGGACTGGCCACGTCGCAGTTTCGCCCAACTTGGCGCGGCCACGGCGTATAATGCACGCCGAGGAAGCCGATCAACAGGCATACGGTGAACATGGCCTAGCCAACGCAAGCGGCCGAGATTTATCAAACACTCAAGAGAGACACTAGAAGTTTTCTTGCCAAAAACCAACTGGCGGACCTTAGCATTGCTCACCCAACATTCCCACCAAACGTGAGCAATACTTCGCATGCACCGATGGTCAGAAACCGCCTAGCGTTTAATGTCTTCGCCGCAGACTGGCCAGGTCTCTGATCCATACAGTAAGACCGGTCTTATAGCAGCGTTATAACCCTACTTTTCACTGACAAGCTGATATTCCGCTGTTTCCACAGTTGGTTGAGCCTCTGGGAAGTCACACGGACTTGCTGCTACGCGAAATAATTTCCTCCGTAATGTGACCGCCAGGTGTGATACAGCTACCATGGTAAGTGAACCGATCCACCACTTCCAGCGGCTGTGCGGAAATAGCTGAACCCGAAGTGTGTCCGCCCAGTCTTACAACCTCACTTTGAAGGCGCAAAGTACATGCGGGAGTGTGCAGCGCTACGCATGAGTCTGTGCAGTACTGTTTGCATTAGCCGAGGCATCAGACCCAAGGAGCACTATGTCGTCGGCATACTCCAGGGTTGTCGCTCGGTCGACTGGCAGAACTACCACTCCAGTATTGTCTAAAAGAACCGAGTCATCCATGATCATTTCATTCACAAAGTTGAAGAGGAAAGGAAATATAGGATAACCCTGGCGAACCCTACTTGTCGTGGGGAACTCAGAGGAAAGACTTCAGAGTGGAAGAAGTTTAGCTGGCACGCCCTTCATGGATAGGCAGTGGCACAAGTTGGTGCAGCCAACAGAGTCGAAGGCGGCTTTTAAGTCAAAGAAAATCACCAAGATCAGTCGTCTGTATGTGTGTCTCTGTTCTAAAACTTGGCGAAGAGTAACTATGTGGTCGATGCAACCACGGCGAGGGCGGAAGTCATCGTGGTTTTCAGTTATTCGGTGCTCACAGGGACCAGTAAATCGTCGAAAAGTGATATCCGTGAGAAGTTTTATGGTAATGGAAATAGGGCTAATGCCTCGATGATTTTCGCACAAAGCACGCCGGTACGACGGTACATATTCGATAGTCTGAAGGCACTTCTTCAATGTACCGACTGGTGTTCAAAAAGGAAGCAATTTCAGTCTACAAAGTGTCACCACCCTCTTTCAGCAAAGATGGAGAAAGATCCTCTAGTCCAAGAGCCTTGTTTTGTTTTAACTCGGCGAGCTCATGTTGAATCTCTTCCGGAGTTGGAGACGTGACATCTACGACCCACTTCGGCTCAGGCGATTCGGCAGGCGGCAGTGTCGCTGCAAGCCTGCTGAACTGCTCTTCCAAACGTTCCGCCCAAAATCTGGTCTACGACGTTGAGAATGGCTCAGCAGTCCATCTTTCTCAACTATTGTCTCGATAACTGATGGCTTTCTCGGACCCGCGTTCCGAATGAGCACTCAGCTGTTTCCAATAGCGCTGATTTTTTCCATCTCACGGGCCTTTGCAACTCACCAACATCCGGTCAATCCGAAGACTCTGTCAGACGTCGTTTCAGATAGAGAGTTACGAATGCGCTAAAACTCATTCCCTATCGGAACTCGTTTACGCGCTTCGATCAAACTGATCGATGCTTCAGTGATTCGTTCACAGTTACGACGGCTTAATTCGGGTGCACATCAAGCGTAAAAGGCATTCTTCATGACACATTTGAGACGATTTCAGTCAGCGTTCGGCTCACCAACCTCATTCATCACTGACAATTGGTGAGCCAGTTCGTCTTGCATGATATTGTTGAATCGCGGACTGCAAGTTCCAGTTACATGTAAGAAGGTTAGGAGACAAGCACTTCTTTGAAGTGGGAAGAGTGAGTTCCAATCGTGCGCGCACTAGACCATGGCTGGAATCCAGGCATGTGCTCCAAATTGACCGACAGTCTTGGACTGATGTGCGCCACCTGTAGCTGAAGTCAATGTCGCAAGTTTGGGTCCAGGTCACACCCGGTGACACGGTGTGCATGTTTGTGCTGGAAAACAGCACTGCTAATATAATGGTTGTAATCGGTACACAGTTCCAGGAATCGATCATCTTGTTTGTTCGGTGTGCATCGACCCCGAAGCGCCCTCCCAAATGTTATTCGGAATCTGAAAGGTGACCTAACTGGGCATTCAAGTCACCAGCAACAATTACGATGTCAGAAGTCTTCGTCATGCGGAGAAGAGATGAAAGATGGTATCCTCCGAACTGTACCTTGGAGTCGAACCGCACACATGCGGCTGTTCACGGGAATCCCGTTGAGTAGAGCGATACTAACACCGGAAACACCTTGAGCCATTGACTCGGTGTCATCAGAGACGCGGAGTGTAGCCATTGTCATCAGAACCAAAACCAGGGCGTCGAGGGTTCCTCACAACGCTGTTATCTTGTGTGCGTATTTCCGAAACACAGTACACATCAATACCAAGGGAGTGAAGAGTGCGGGTCGGTGCTGCCTGTTGGCGGATCTGACCCAAAGTGCAAACTTTAAAAGAACCAATATGAAATGAGACTCCTACTTTGATGGACGCGTTACGAGTATCCATAGCAACAGCAGTGCGGTCAGCGGCAGATTCTTGCTTAATAGACGGGGAAGAAGAGAGTTGACAGGGAAGAAAATATTAGAAGACGAGGATGATGATGATGTTGAAGTTTTGTCGAGATGGCAAGTGATACTCTCCAGATGCCCATTCCGAGAGAGGGGTTTGTTCCAGGTGCCCAACCTCTAGCCTTTCATTCAACAATCTGACTCAAAAGACAGTGGGACAGTAGGAGGTTTGCTTAAGAGACTCCACGCGGAGCCTTTGGCTCAATAGCCTGACCCACAAGGCAGTGGGGAGTAAGCCCAGCTCGGGAGTGTGACTACAGAGACCCATTGGGATCCGCTCGAGGCCTATCATACTTAATCTTTAAATATTTGAAACAAGTCACATGTATTTTGCGACCGTGCCTGCGACCACGGCCAACCGCAGTTGGGAGTTGGCGGATTTGCACCAATTTGATCAGGAGCTGCTTGGTTTGAGGCCGGTGGTAGCAAATTATTGAGCACCGAAAGGTGCCCTCCCACCGTCAGAGACAATGCGTGGCACTCGTGCTGTACGCTAATCGAGCTGTGAGCTCATAACCCGTACACCTATTATCTCCTATGGGCAGGTTTTTAGAGAAAGTAGGCCATCGACCTATCCCTAACCTCCGAAGATGATTGGCTTGCGAGACTGAGTTAGTCTGACCTCTAATCATTGACCTGTCTGGTATAAGTGGCTCTGAAGGCGCTTGTAAAGGACTACCCAGCATAGCTCACTGGGTCACGGGGGTACTCAAACCTGATGTGCCCCGTGCACCATTTCTCCATAGCTGATTTTCCAACTTGGCTTTTACCGGTGCAACGTTCGTCACAGAATACTCATGCTGTGCTCGCACATTCTATGGTTGATCTATTTGCAGTTTCGACGCTATCACTAAAACCTTTAATATTAGGAATCGTATTGATCTCTGTACATTCTAATTTGAACGTGAGAATTGCTCACTACTCTGTCCGTACCACTAAACAGGCCACAGTTGAGTGCACGCCGACGAATCGCTTCCCCTTGTTACTTCTTGTTTCATACATGCTATTTGTTGTCTTATAAGTAGTGGTTCTTTATTTTCAACCTATCTCCCTAGCGATCGGTCATTTCCCATCCTCTTATTTGGATTCGGATGTATCCACCATACACCTGTTGGGACGCTGTTGCAAGAGGTTGCAACAAATGAACTTTCTATCCGTTACCTTCTAATCTCCTTTTACTATCCTTGTGACTTGTTTTCATCCTGTTTGACCCTGATCATCATACCTCTTGTTCCCACAGATTTTGACACTCCCTGTGATCTTAATCTTGCTCTTACACAAGCCCTGTTGCACAACGCCTACAATGACCGAGAGTTGGTGAGCAGGTTGCCTGTCCCAAACGGTACCGCCAGTAGGAAGATGCCCTTGTTACAACCTCCATCCAGAGATGCGTCGCCTGCTCGTTCGTTCTCCTCTATACCTCATTCTGCTCCACTTCTAACCCATGGGTGTTTACCACCTCCTCCTCCGTTGATCGCAGGATGTGCGCAGCCTGATGGGCCCGACCTTCACGGGTTTCCTCGAACCTCACTATCCTCTGAGGTACTCCATCGACCTCGCCTTTCATCCTTGTACAGTGCAGGGCAGCACCCAAATCCTGGTTTCTCGTATTCGCCCATGACTTCTTTACCCCTGCCGGCTCCCAACGCACATCTTTCTGAATTAGCGAGTCATACAAATCAGAAGCAGTGGGAAGCCTATTTTCGGGAGAAGGTATTGATTTTTTACAAGTTATCACTTGTCTAGTTACATTGCTATCATTGTTTTCGCTTTTACTGTCCACATTTACTTTATTTGCACACTCTCAGATGCTCAGTATGGCTGTCTCAGGCGATTCACCCATGGGAATGGGACCGCCTAATCTATCACTCTCTTCTTCGGTCAAGGGGACTACGATGTCTTCTAAAGTGCCTCTTACAACAGTCACCTCATCCAGTGAATTGTCACAATCAAGAGCTTTGTTCGAAGCTAGTACAACTCGAACTCCTCTCAATCCACCTTCCCCATATCACGTGAACTCCCCGCACTCAGGCCCACTTGCTCGACCTCTTGCGTGGTTCGGTTCGACAAAGGGCGTACCGGAACAGACAAAGCGTCAGTTGTCCAACTTGCTTCGTCAACCGGCGCACGTAAGTCGATTCCACGTACTGCCTTTGGTTACTAATCTGAGTCAGTTCCCCGGAGCAGTGACCGCTTTTTCCCTTGGCATGAGCTGCTCTAACCCAACGATGCATACTCTGCTTGTTGTCCACTGTGTTCACACTGACCTCGGTACCCCATTCCAAATATGTGTACAGCAGTCAAACTCATCTATTGGTTACTTCATTTATATGAAGTAATTTCTCCCAAACCCTCAGTTTTTGTCCGTGGCCAGTTTACTATTTTTTCATCTCCATTTTATGCTTATATCCTACGGCTGTTTCTTCTTAGTCGATATGCAACCTGCTTCATCGGATGGCTCGGCCGGTTGTTATTACTGATGAGTATTTGCAGTTGTTGCGATGTCACACGAAGGAAAACGAAAAAAAGACCCGTCACTGAGGTTCAATGTTCACAGCCAGTCGGTTGCTCATTCCAAAGTCCATGTGGAGCTAGTGTACTGTGCCCATCCAGGTATCAACTGGAGAGCCGGGCATGTCCAGTGGACTACGAGCTCACGTATCAAGCTGCAGTTTCGCGAGCGGGAAACATTTAACATTCATCTACTTTATTAATTACGTTACCATTGATCAACTGTACCAAAGTCCACTCCAGTGCGAATCGCGGTCCACATTGCGATTGCACCTTACAATCCAATCACACAACACTGACTTAAAAATGATCCCTGCAAACACCGTTGTGACAACCGTTACCCGCTTTTAACGACAGTGGCCAAAGGGCTAGAAGTTTCGGTTAAGATTCCAGTGGTCACGGGTTCTAGGCCTGCTATCTCTACCTGTGTTGATATCAAATATATTCGATAGGGGTCATCGGGATGCGGTATTTTCGGGCGGTCCCAGTGATTACACTGAGCTAAAGTTCGCTTCATTGCTAATGGCGGTCTACGTTGAAATTGTGCTTCGCAATCCATTCACATAACGAGCACTTCAAAATGAACCCTCCAGTGGCGAATATATCAAACGGTATGGTTTGTCGAACACACAATGTATAGCAGGCGGAAGAGTTCCCTGAGAGATTGTGGGGTTCCAGTTGGTGCGTGGTAGATAGTCATCCTGGGTATTTTTTTATTCATAATGAAAAAATTTATTTTATTTTGGTACGTCATTTTGATGATTGTTTTACCCGGGTTCCTCTACTATGTAGGCATGATGACCAACTTTTGCTTGTGCTTTCTTTAAACAATGGATATCCAAAGGAACTTTTTCATATGACGCAACTCGGTATAGCTATGCAGATCTCCGCACTTTCTTGAACTCGTGAGTTGGCGTGGGACTGAAGCAGCAGTTGTAGAAGCGAAGGAGTGATCAGGGCTACGGAAACTCATTGAATGAAGAGGAAAATAAACTTATTAGCAGTACTCCGATACGCAGTATCGACGCTTTGCTGCCGCACAACCTCCACCAGTGGGCTAAGGTCACACGGTCTCAACTCAGGCTCGAACCTGCGCTCTCGGAGTACAGGATAGGTTTATGATCCTTAAGGCTACGGGCCGGCACGGGCACTAATTTGGATACCGCTCTGCATCTGGGTTGATTACACTTGGTTTGAGCCGAACGTAAAGTTGCTGCATGCATCAGCAGATCAAGAGCGGACTTGGACCAGTGAACCTAATTGCTTACCGGGGACTACAAACGAGAATGAGCCAATGTGAGGGGAGAAAAACCGTGAACCGATATAATTTCTTGTATATTGTAAATGATTTCGTGGTTCAAACCTTTTGCTTACAACCTCTTTGTCTGTTTCGGCAACCTTTTTCTATCCCAGCTCATATGCAGCTACTTGGGGTTGGATTCGCGGCAAGGCATCGATACGTAGTGCCGCTTTGTTGTTGTTGTTGTTGTTGTTGTTGTTTTTCTACGAGTGCTGGTTTTTGTTGGGTACTAAGTTTTTGTTGTGATTTGCGCCTGAGCCAACGTCTACTCATTATTGCCGAACTACACTGGTATTCACCTAATTCGTCATGGAAATGTGATATTATCATTGTTTAGAGTATTTGCAAGACGAGTGCCTTCTTGGTTTGCTTACCCATTCAGGCGCTGTCGTGCCGGGTTTCATTCATTTCAGATTGCGACTTAGCTTCTATTCTGTCAATAGAAACTTCACAGCACAGTGTAATCACCGCTTCTACTAGTCCGCTCATCTGATTAATGTTTAAATGCGTCATCGTTTGCTTTTTAGAATATTTTCCTACACTCTCACCTTTCTATTATGTTTTGCTTCGACTGAATACCTCGGCGTTTTACACTTTTTCGCAGACTACGGTTTTCTTTATACTGCTCTTAACTATCCCCCTCTTCTTTCCCCACTTGGTTCATAGACGTGCGGTCGGTGGGCTGATGCCCATGTTCGTATCGCACGTTACATCGAGCAACAACAACTCCTGCTGGGATCACGAACCCCTTGCGATGGGTTCATCACCGTTGGATCGACCAGTTCATCATCCAGCTCCTCCCGATGTCCCATTCGTCCGGTTCCATGCCCGATTCCACCACTTTTACCACGACCTTCAGGACCCATCAGCTTTCCAACCCTTCCGGTATCCATATCGTCTTCGCAGCTGTCTAATCCAATCGCCTCCGTGAGGCCTCCGCTGAATACGCATCCCTCCCTGGATACACGGATTCAGCAACCTCACACATCGGTACCAGCAAACTTCGTGTCTGATGGACCTATCGATAGTAATGCGTTCCTCAGCCGTCTGTTCAATGGTATGTTGTCAAACATGCCAGTAGATTGGACTAGCAATGGCCATTTCTTCTCCAAAGAAATGTCCGAGATGCTTTGGGCTTCAGCTCTTCAGAAATTTTATGGCCACCCGGTTGTTCCACAAGTGCTGAGCCAGTCTAGACCTCCTTGGGTAACCAGTGGATCGCCATCGTCTGTCCTGGATCTGACCCACTCTGCCAGAGATCCTTTGAGCACATTTTTTGTCCCTGGTGTTCGACCTCGCGCACCAGATCCTCCTGGATTGTTTACTCCATCATGTGCTTCCATACCGGCCTCTTCATACCATGGTCCCCTTACGACGCTCACCAGTTCACAGTCTGGTGCTAACACAAAACGTCGTCGACTGGACGTTCCACCTATACTCCAGACTCCGCTGTCCCATCCGCCTCATTTTGACCTATCTCTTGTGTCATCGTCGCTTTCTCTTCATCCACGAACGTCCCGTCCTCTGGATGTATTGACTCCGGCAGTTCAGAAACATGCCAATCAACCTAACGGTTACCATGCGCCTGCTTTATCCGATCCTTGGAACCCAACGAACCAATTCGCAAGAATGGATGCAAACTATTCTAACTGTGCCGAAAACAGCTTAAAATTGCCAGCTCCTCCCTCACATCTTGCTCCCATCCATCCTTGGTAGAATTTCATTGGTCTCGCACGGCACATTGTGTATTCACTTTCCTCGGCTCTGACAGTCCACTTGAAGTGGTGTGTACTCTTTCTGTAAAGATTCTTGTGTAACATTCCTCGCCTACTTGGACCCTCGAATTTCTTATTCTTTTCTCTGTGGGTCTCTATCCTCCTTGTCGCCTTGTTGATTTTCATATAAGATCTCCCACTTTTTCTTAACACATTTTTACTATTCACCTTTTCTAAATGCCGTGCCGTTGTCGTTCATGAAAGTGCCATTTTCTATCGTTTACACTCCAGCTGAGCCATCACTGTGCCTAAATGTGTGTCGATGACGCAGCCATTTTTTCCTTTCATAACGATTATGTGATATCAATTATACAGCTCCCTGTGTACATCCACACACTAATAGTCAAGCCAGGCTAGCTCGGATAATTCGCACTCCGTTTGTCGGACACATTTCCCCTCCAATTTTACCTCTCCTGGATTTGTTTGAATATGTTGATCTTTTCCAGCACCCCTTCCTTCCCCATCTTTGCTGAGATCTGCTACCATCATGTTTCTCCTTTTCCTCTCATGTTCCATTTGTATTGCTCTTGTTTTACGTTGCGTTTCGCTGCCAATGATGTTCAAAAGAGGTGGTCCCATGCGGTGCCGCTCAGTTCATCCTTTGTTCTCTTGTCCACTGTACACACATTCTGGTTCCTGTTACGTTTTACAATCGTGTATAAAGTAAATTCCTTTCTACACTCTCGATCTTCTTCTCTTTCACGTGTACTTTTCCTTTGGAATTCCCACGGACTCTGGTGTTTATGTTGGCTATCATTAAACTGGTGTGAGGACACCGGTGTATGTTTACCTTTTCCTACTTTCGTTTTGTTTCCTCCTCACATAAATTTGCAACGCGTGCGGATGTGTTCTTTTTCTCTTAGTCATGGGCTTTCACGCACCAAGTCTCGCGCACCCGGTATGTCGGTAGTTTTCCACTTTAACTGACCAGAAAGCATTATCACTAGATCCATTGCCTTCTCGTTCTATACGTCTGGCTTCAGCCCACAAGTCAGTGGATGGAGCATGTGTAGATGTGGGGGGCCTCGCTGTAGCCTTAATCCACACGCAGTTTATTATAGTAGCGAAGCGTTGGTAAGACATGCCGGTGTATTGCTGGTTGGTTTTTTCGATTTTGGACGAAATAACCCTGTTCGATTGGCCCCAATCAGATGCGAGTTATTCTAAGGCTACTTGTCGCCTCGGTGTGGGCACTTATAAAGTCACAATGGACCGTCCCATCACTCTATCTATATTCTCTGGCCTCTGCATCCTGTTAGGTAATTTACCGACTGCTGTGGTTTCGCGCTGCTCCTCGAATCTGCACAGGGTTTTTTCCATGCTCCGCAGCGTAACGCCTCACCCCATCCCTATCGCTATTTCATGACACGTCCCGTAGCCTAAAGGTAGCGAGCTTGTCTTGCAGTCTGACGGTGCGGGTTCGAGCCTGCCTAGGGACAGGACGACCGTCACGCGACTGGCAGTGGTTGTGCAGTAGCGAAGCGTCGGTACTATGTACCGGTCTACTGCTGATAACTTTAAAACCGTGAGTTGTTCCATATTTTATTTCTGACCAGCGGCAGTAATTTATGCCTTTGGCTTGGGATTCAAGATCCACTGCTTGGAACCTGCGTAGATGCGGACCACTTCGCGTTATTCAAAGTACCATACAACCACTGACGCTTGTATAACAGCGATGCATCAACGCGACATACTGCTGATAACTTTCATGCCCATAGTCGCTTCGGATCTATCTTGGAATATTCGGGGTCGATGAGGCTATTCGCATTTTTGCAAATGGTTTTTGACCGTTATATGGTTTGTACCGTATTTTTTTCCCCTGATGCTCAATACATATCCTTGTTCGTGAACAAAAGTATACTATGACTTCGCTGACTTTTGTTACCGTCTGACCGCTACCCTATCTACTAGATTTTGCTGCTTCCTGGCGAGTGTGTCGTTTACTGATGCAATTAGCGTCTCTGTACACCAAGGTTTTGAATCTTGGGACTTCTTCGCCAAACGCTTCCGATACAATCCAGACACTTTTTGAGTATCTTCAGAATGTTTTGATCTCGTCACTTTTGCTTGTAAACCATTAAACAGCGATACTGGCATCGGCAGTATGCTTTAGCGAAGCCTCATCTCAAGTGTCTTTCACGTCCGACTCCCGTCCAATGCTTAAACAACTATACGTGCGCTGGGAATGCTCGTCAAACTGCGTGACCACGTTCAATTCTAAGTTCAGCCTGTATTACTTACGTGGGTTGCGCTTTCGGACGTACCATGCTTTCCAGATAGCGCAAGTGTACTCCACTGGAGTGACCAGGGTGGTTGCTTTCAGAGATTAGTTGTGGAAACCAACTGGGACAAGCTTCCTTTTGCCACTGTTTGACATTTCTTCATTTTCTCTGACTGGTCTTCACAGTTGGATAGCACCCATGCAAATAGGCTGCCTACTGCATATGCGTTTAGTGTAATCCCAATACAATCACGACCACCGGGGCATCGACTCAGTTCAATTTGGGAGGTGACCTATAGGTGCGTCCTCATCTGCACCCATATACGACGAATGACCGTGTGACATTATTGCATCGCAGGTTGGTGTGAATTCTTTTGGTAAACTAATCTGCATAAACCAAGTGAATGCCACGTGGTTTCGATCCTTGAGTTCAATTGACATACCGTGAATTCTGTATACTGGATGCAAGCAGCAAGCAGAGATGTATCTATGTAGCTGCCTCTTACATCTCTCATCTACAATGACCTATTATGTTGGAGAGCATTCCCTTTCTTTAATATCGGCAAACTGTTTGTCCAGCATTTTTTAACTTCCTACACCGACTTCGCTTCGAATACTTGTGGCGGCAGGTTGTTTCATATATCCATTACTCTCCGTTCGAAGCAAAGTTGATGAGCGACCCACTTCCAATCCGCTATTACAAGCGTGTACCGGGGTGTCCTCATGTGTTGCTTGGTGTGCACAGATGCAACAGCGGTCTCAACATGGGTTAATTCGGTGCGTCATGATGAGATCAACCCGCGCTCGCTTTCACTGATAGCTTTAGTGTCAAATTCTTGCTCTGTCTCTAGTCGATCTCTGCGGGTGGTATGTGAAGTGTCTTGCTTATTGGGTGATGTGGTTTACTTGAGAAACCCTACTGGGTGTGTTTACCTTCATCCCCCAATCCGAGTGCCTACTAAATTTCCTCTGATGCGCTTTTGTCTCCTACGTGGGGTTGTTTGTCTTTTCGTCCATGAAGTCTCAAGGACGCTGGCCTACCAATGCTGTCTTCTGTTCGCACAATAGTCCGCTACTATAGCCTTGTGTTGTGGACAAGTTTTGTTCAGGTCATTAGGGCTTAATACCTGGTTACTCCTCTCTTTTCGTTTTTCTTATTCCTTGTTAGTATGGTCACTATGGGTGTGTGGTAGCGAAGCACAACCTCAACTTGCTGGGTTTCCGCTGATGATTACTGAGTAGTTTTTTGATTCGGCAATCTAACTCGCGGGGCATTGGAGCGCAGGCGTATTTACGTGCCATGGTCGACTACACTCAACCATGCACTGGGCAACTCGCATGCTTCTGTCATTCGTACTAGCGGGTGTGTTTTTCACCACAGACAGCCGCATGCATTCTAGTGGGTCTCTACAGACTTTTGGTTACGGCATACCAGTGTACCATTGGTGTGCTCTCCTTTTGCCACAGACGCTTCATGGATCTCGTTTCTAAGCTGTGAAATTTCACCGTTATTTAGCTGAATTCTCATCAATTAATGCCATCGATATGTCTAATGGGGTGGCCGACTTTGTTGGGCATCATTAGATTTTTAGGTGGGCTACATGGACCACTGGAGAGAAGCTTTTAATGTAGTCCAGTGAGGCATTATAAAAGGTAGGTTGTCGCACCGAGTTAAGCTTGCTGTGTCTCAGTTTGAACCCTTTATCCGAATTTATTTCCGGAAGCTTATGTATGGGCCCAGATCACATGTGTTCGATTCTATGCAACTGTGTGACCTTCGGTGTGTTTGAGGCTCCACCCAGCTTCTCTGTGCACTCGAATGGGCGTCATATGTTGTTATTGATTATCCCCCGTCTGATTCTGAATTTATCATTACTAACCCTTCGGGTTATCGGATCTCTTGCGCACTTGTAATCCACGAGATCTACACCATTATTTGCAGCGGGACCATTTGCGACTCTACTCACGCATTATCACGCCACATAGACATGTGGTCCTCGTTACTGATGAATAGTTCTCTGTGTTTCCGCTTTGTTTACACCCATAGTGCGCACCTTGAGCACGAGCGCCTTTTTGTTGTTTACACTCCGCCTTGTTTGTGTGGTTTTGTAACACATCATTAATTATGGTGGTGATGTTTTTTTGTTCGCTATGATGACGTCGTTAAGTGTACATGGTTACCTTATGGCATGTGCGACCTACAACAACAGCACCTAGACAAAATATAGAACATCTGGAGTGGATGTAGGTTGCTGCTCGTGCATCATATTTGAACATGGAACAGAAACACTTCAAAGATCATGTCCGATCAAGGGGCCGGGTTGATTTCGGCATGTGACTCTGAGGCAGCTCTTCATCTGCGATGACGTAACCGTGACGAAAGCGCTGCCAGGTTTAAAGAAATAACTTACGAAGAGGGATATTGGCAGAGTTTGATTACTGGTGTAGCCGCATTGCACATTGGTGCAGTTGCACTCACTCTGCACATTGATGGATTCATAAGACAAACCGTCATGGGCACTCACATTGTCTCGTGCCTTGCTCTCATTCATTCGGCTTTTGTATGTCGAAATCATGCATACAAAGTCGCACCGGAACGGCACTTTGTGTGGTGGCGGTTGCTGTGGGCCAACTCTGATCAAGAGTGTGCTTGGCATTTGGCTCCTCCTTTCGGCTAAACTTGATTCTTACGGATGGACTGGCTTGACAAACGTCACTTTGCTTGTTAAAATCCACAGTTAACGGACTATCACCACACAGTGATACAGTGCAAGCTGCTATGGCGATCACCGGTCTATAGTGACTAACCAAAAACATTCACGATTTTTTCCGTGAGTAATGTCCCTTGCATAAACCTGTCCAACGCGACCACTTTTTGTCAGTCCCTTGAGCGGTCGTCTTAGACAGGTCTGACTGTATTAAGCCGAAGGGTTAGGATACGAATAAGCAAATTTTAGGTAAAACGGGGGAAGTTTGATTTCTGCTTACATACAAATGCGACGGTGTTATAAACGGCTCGTCCGGATCATATCGGAAGAGTTTACAGACTAATGTGATCTATTCCGTTCTGTGGGCTCCAGGCGAGGTGATGCGAACGTTTGTCTTGATGAACACATGCAGAGCTGGGGAAACCCAAGCACTACTACCAGTCCTATGGTCGTACTACTGCGTTCAAAAAGAAACCTTATTCTCAGAATAACACACCAACCGACCGACGGAGCGCGCTGCGGACACTGTGGGCAAATAGAAGCTAGTTTAGACAATAAATTGCCATTTTCTGTGTTTCGCTCTGACCGTTAGTTGCCGTACTCTCAATAGCCACAACCCGTCCCCTCTGCTGCTTAGCACGCTATTTCAAGAGTTCGATTTCTTCTTGAGCACAGTAATGTAATACCTCATATTATTTACGTCCTTTTGTCACCCGCCATGTTTTCTTAGCCATACGAACTTGGGATAATCGTTGCATTTGGAAGCTCTTTTTGATGGTTCTCTGGTGACGTTAGCTATTTGTGTACACCGTAGCACTCGGAATATCTCTCCTTTTCTGGCGCTATCGGCTCAGATGAAAGTTTGAGACCAACTACTAAACCTGCAGCTGTTAGCCGGGACTCGTCAACTCTGA